AATTAGTATGATTTTGTGCATTAAAAATGCTATTCTTCCTTTAGGATAAACACACTGGAGAACATGTTATGACTATAGTTTTTCTAGTGTGGGGTTGGCAGTTATGAAATCCCTTTTTTCCTTGTAGTCTCTGTAATTCTGATTAAGACTATTAATCATTATTATGACAGGCTTATTTTATTGGCACTGCGTTTCTTTCTCCACAAATCAAATTCCTTATTTGTTTTGTTCACATGCAGTGAAGCTAGATTACAAACTCTGAGAAGAGGATTATCTCTCACGAGTGTTTGTATACATTTTGTGCAGTGAACTTCCAATACAGAGTGTTATCTGGAGCTTCCTGAAGTATTTTTAAAAGAGCCAAGGACCTAGTGATAGTTTAAACCATTTTTCAATTCTTGAGTTTCCTGGAGTTGTAACAGGGTACTAGATTCTGGCTGTTCACTTTTCAAGAAAGATGTTTGAAAGTCAACAGACTAGAGATGAATTATTAAAAAATTAAATAAAGTATGCTACACTGAAAAACTTAGGCTCAAATTATTTTCCTAATGTAAGACTGAACTAAGTATAATTGTAATCAAATATAACTATTAACACTAAGAACATAGATTCCCTAGTGGAGAACATTTCTAAGTTATAGAAAGATCCAAAACATGGAAAAGGAAGTGAAAAAGACCAAGCAAGAATCAAGAACTTATTTTTCAGAATGGAGATGATTAATTATTGGAACAATTTAATTTCAATTATGGTAAAACACTGCAAATTAAAAGAAAGAAAGAAAAATAAAAAAAGATGATTTGCTGGATATTATTCTCAAGTTTACTCATAACCATGAAGTTGAAGCAAGAATTAATCAGAGAATTCATATAGAAGTTGGTCAGCAGAGGGTTGGGTTAGACCATCATAGTTATATTAGCTGCTTGGTGTCTTTGACATTGGATTTACCCAAGTTACTAGTCTTTGATATCTGATGTTAAAATGATTGATTTTCCATTAATCTCATAGCCCCTTAGGCTGGATCACTAGATTGAGATGCTCTAAAATTCAATGTAGTAAATAAATTGTAAAGATCCCCTTCTACTAGGAGGTCTTGCATTATGATGTGACACAGACTCTTCATCTCAGGAAATCTAGGAAAGGGACTGTTCTTGAATTTCTTTGTTGAACACTTATTTCCCTTTTAGCAGTTACATTAATTCTATTACTCTCCTGAATTACTTTTCTGAAGGTATTTGCTTGTTGGCCATGTTAAGATTTTAGCTGTACACAGCTGTTAGTAGGGAAACTAGGCCATGTGCAGAACTAATTAGCATCTATGTTATTAGTCATAAATTACTGAATTATAAAGTACCTGTTCTGCTTTAAAAAGGCAATAGGTAATTGGGAAAACAGATTTTAAAAGGTGCTTAATTTAACTGAAAAGTGTAGACTGGTGAAATTTAGAGACCAGCATTTTAATGTCATCAGTGAGATAAGTTCTATTAGTAATTTGTCAGTTAATTAGTTATAGTAGTTCAGTCCTAGAATTGTAGAACCGTTTAGGTTGGAAAAGACCTTTAAGATCATTGAGTCCAAGCATATGTGAAGGAATCATTTTTGCAGCCCTTGGAAAATAGTAAGGAGACCAGCTCAAACCAGCACACCAAAAACACCTGAAACCTCAATTAAAAATCAAAAAAGTAAAGTCACTAGTGCTACTAGTCTTGAGTTTTGTAACAGTCTAGGTAAAACTGATGAGAGATACAGGTGACAGTGTAACAGACATTCAGTTAGGCCTTCTCTGGTCTCAATGTGATTTGATCATCAGTACATTGTACATTTATCTTCTTTTATTGATACAATTCTGTAATGTATCGTAAATCAAGTGTGAAAGATTTACCAAGGGTCACAATGTTGTAGTGTAAAGTGAAATATTGTGTAATTAGTTGCTTGAGTCTGCACAGGCTTGGAGATCTTCTCATTGATATCTTTGTATATGTATGTCTGATTCTGCTGGACATAGCATGAGAGACTATCACAACTTGATATCTGTGCTTTGCTTGTTTGCCATGCCAATTCACAACTTAAGACCTGTGCTTTGCTTGTTTGCCATGCCAATGGTGCCTTTGCCAGTTACAATGCAGTCATCCTTGGATACTCTCTTGAAGGCCCAGAGTGCTTTGCTTCTAGATTAGGTGAGTGTTGATCATATTTCAGTCTTAGGGGTAGATGTCTTTACGCAGCTGATTCCAGTCTGAGAGAATTTAGATAGTGTGCTGTGGGAGTAAGACCTGTGCTTTGCTTGTTTGCCATGCCAATGGTGCCTTTGCCAGTTACAATGCAGTCATCCTTGGATACTCTCTTGAAGGCCCAGAGTGCTTTGCTTCTAGATTAGGTGAGTGTTGATCATATTTCAGTCTTAGGGGTAGATGTCTTTACGCAGCTGATTCCAGTCTGAGAGAATTTAGATAGTGTGCTGTGGGAGTGCAAACTGGAAAATAGGACCCTAGAGGGAAAAAATTACACAGATGAGATATCTTCCTATTCAGAACTGCCGAAAGGATGGTCCTCATGACCCCATTGTTTTAATCTCTCATGTCTGATGAACTGCTGTTTACTGGCTCGTGTCAGAGAGCGGCTTCTCATTTTCAGCACATATCTTCAAGCAGTATTAAAGGCTGAATATTTCAGCCATTCCAGCTTTCAGTTTTTCTTGGCTCCAGTATTGTTGAGCATTATAAAACATGCAGTTACAGGAGGAGATGTATAAACATTGAGATTTATTTGACCTGGGAACTGATTGGAAACTTGGAATGTGCATAAAATTTGAACACTGCCTTTCAGTTCGGAAAGAAAGGCCCTTTAGTCCAGGCAACTGTTCCAGCCATACTTGTTCCCATAGAAATGCTGACTTTCTACTGTTGCTGTCATTTCTCAGTACTTAGCCAAAGCAGTGATCAGTGTTGCTGCAAGAGGGTGTTTTTTGCAGAACTCTGACTGCCAACTTTATCCCTACATTTTGGAGAATACTGTGAATCATTTCTCGAGAGACACTTTTTTTTCCATCCAAAACAAACAATAAGGATCAAACTATTTGTCCATGCTGTAATCTATTTCAGGATCATGTGCATCCTGTGATAGTCCTTTCTTAAGAAACTCAGGGATTTTATTTTGAATACCTGGTATTGTCATCACTCTGAAGAGCTTCTTGAGATTTCTTCTGCCTACATCTGTAGAATGTTTCCCCCTGCCACAGCTATTGCTTTGGCTTAGGAGAGCTGAAGAAACACAGTGACTGCTGACAAGTAAACTTGATTTCTAAGCAATTTGTGCCTTAGGCCATATTCATAAACCTTGCAGAGGATGTTAAGATTCCAATGAGACCAGGGAATCATTCCACCTAGGTTTAAGAAATGATGTGAAGTCTTGGCAAAGGAGTATGCTAATTGATACTATATGCTAAATATTATTTACCTCTTTACTTGGATATAGTATCATTCATTGGGAAGATAGTTTTGCTCCTTTGTTTTTTATAGGAAGTTCTGGAATATGGAGATCTCTGAATGAGATTGTCTCAGTTGAGCATCTCACAGCATAGTGAAAGTGAAGGTACCTAACGGGATTTAAGCACACTGTAAAGACGTAAATCACCACTGTGTCACTTCCAAGGATTATTCCTTTTCCTGAGACTTTGTGTCTTGAAGATGTGTTAACTTTTGTGGAACATTTTATTGTACCTGAGGCCTTTGAGTGGGTTGTTGCTTTTTGCAGGGCAAGTGTCCTCTCGGACACAGGATCATTTCTCCAGACGACCTGGAGGAATCAATGGTTCTTGGAGTCAGTTCCCTGTAGCTCGAATGCACAGTCATTAAAAGGAGGATAAAAGTTGCTGACTGTAATGGGGTGTCTTTAAAGCTCACAAATATATTTTATCAAGGATTGAAAGGAAATTGCTTAGTTTTGAGAGGACAAAACAGTGGAGTATGCTCTGTCCTTTCATACCACATACATGTTAGTTACGTAGGGGCTGGGACAGGGAGGCTCCCGTTGGAATCTGAGGGGCTCTGTGCAGGTTGTAGTGGTTAGATTCACATCCATGATATGAAAACATTTTTAGGAAATACATCTCAAAAACTTTCAGTTGCAACAAGGTTTATCCTTTTTTTATCCATGTTTATTTAGACGAGTCCTGTCAATGAAGAGGTTGGCAGTCTGAGTCATTTGAAAGTCTCCAGTCCAATCCATGTTTATTTAGACAAGTCCTGTCAATGAAGAGGTTGGCTGTCTGAGTCATTTGAAAGTCTCCAGTCCTAAATTGCAGTTTAGAGGACTCCTTAATGCTGATCTTTCAACAGACTGTCCAAAAGCTTTTCTGTAGGCATATTCAAATATGTGCCGATATGTTCAATGTGTAGGTCAAAATCAAGTGCTCATTTCAATAATAACTCAGTTCTTTTTGGTTTTGTTTTCTGAAAATCTTGAAAGAACAGCTAAAACAAGAACAAAATCATACATTGATATTTTATGATCAGTCATTTATATCTGTGATGTATATAAACTGAAGTCAATCATAAGTAGTGTGGTTTGTTGTTTTATTAATTAAAATATTTTCAGCTTGCTGATAGCTGAGGCTCTTCCTAGAAACACCAAGAAAACAAAGGCATTTTGCCAAAACCTCAAGAGACAGGAGGGATGAAGAGAGCTGAACTGAGGTGAAATAGGAGCTGGAGAGTGCAAAACTGATACATTTCTAATAGGAGGACTGTGTTATGCAATACCTAAAGCTATCTGAAATAAGCTATATATGCAAGCTTTTTCTTGCTGTTGTCTTTTTATTTGTTTAGGAAACAGTGGATTTTTATGTTTCACATTCATGTGAACACAGTCATTTTATTTCATGGTATCTGTTTAAGATTATTTTTTACAGGCTCTCACATATCTCACATATTGCTGGTATTGGCAGTCTGCCTAATTGTACTTCATTATAGCATGTGGCTTAAACTTACACTTTTCTTTTACAGTTTGGAAGAACAGAAGTAATTGATAATACTTTAAATCCAGATTTTGTAAGAAAATTTATAATGGATTACTTCTTTGAAGAAAGAGAGAATCTGCGATTTGATTTGTAAGTTAACAATCTTTGACTCTAATTTTGCAGCCTATTAAGTTAATTTTGCAGCATATTAAGTTTTGTCCAGCATAAAATTACCTTGAAAAGCAATGGTATCTATTGGCATGGAATATATTGATTTAATAAACACGATCAATTTAGCATTGCTTCCTCCGAAATAAATGTGTAATATAATAATAACTGAATTTTAAGAAACTGACAGATGTTAACTAGTCAAAGTACAATTATATTCATAATCACTACTTTACTAAATAGCTAGAAAGCTAAGGATGTCAAAATAGTAAAATATTCTTGCAGCAGAGCCAGTGAAACATGGATGGACATACTGTCTGGAAATAGAATATTGTACAAGTAATACGGAGCCAAATTTTTTTAACTAAAATGAATGCCAGTGTGCATCTAAATATACTAAATTATGAGATTTTAAAGTGAAAGCAGTTGTTCTAGAAGTAGATGACTTTTGACATTATTCCAGATGTGCTTATTTCATTCCACTGGTGAAACTGGTTTGATTTTCACTTTATTCTTTGGAAAATAGAAATGAGTAGTCCAGTCCCAGGGTCATCTGCTACATTTCACTCCATTCAGATAATTTCAGTCTTTGTAATAATCAAGGTTTTCTTGGGTTTCTAATTCTCATCCTCTATTTTTACCAGCAGTTCTTCCTAACTTTTCCCTATGACAGTGTTTGAATAAACATCATAGATACGAAGTTTTTGCAGCAGTTTTGCATCCTAGTAGGCGTAGTCACAACAAATTTTCTTTACATGTCCCTTTCTTTGGTTGAAGAACCCTTTTCCCATTTCCGGTTCTTTTGCTAGATGTACTTTAGCTTGAGTTTTGTCAATTTTTTTTGTGTTCCTGCCTTCATGTGTATTTCTTTTAGTTTATTTGTTCTTGAAAAAGATTTAAGAGACTCTTAACTAGTTATTTACTGAATAATTATAGCAAGAAACATAAAAGCTCTTTTTGATGCATCAAGAAAGATTCTTTCTGTTGCTGAGCTCAGTGTAGTCTGCCTTTCTATATTTCCTAACATTAAAGGTGGAGGTCTTATGATATATTTCATGCAATTGCAACAAATCCCACTCCAGCATTGATGATAGTAAGTTCTAGTATTATTGCTTCCCAATTTAATGTTGCAAGATTGCCTATAGAAACTGCATTTACTGCATTTCTGCCTTGTAGACAGCAAAAAAGATCAAGAAATATTTCATAATTTGCTTAAAATCTTACCGCAAGCTCATAGTAAAGCCATTTTTAAATCTTCTAGGCTTTAGTCTCAATGTGCCATTTACTTATCCAAGCAGTTACTTCGAAGAGACTCTGGCAGTCTGTACATTAAGCAGGGCACAACATAACAAGGCAGTGATCACATTAGTGATGATTTTTCCCATAGCAATGGAAAAAAAAAGAAAGTATGATGCCTGATAGATGTATTTTGGCAATGTTAATGAAACTATGTATATTTGCTGATTTTAAGTTGTGAGCAGGGTGTACTGAAATGCAGCATTACCTACAGCATGGAAACAAGAAAACATACCCATATCTAATTTTTCTTTTCCTGTAAATGTCTCTACAGTGTGCCAGATGCTTCCTGAGTTAACAAGAAGTGTTGGGGGGGGATGAGTGAGAAAAATGCTCCATTGAATATCTGTTCAATACACAGATAGCAACTAGCTTTCCATCTAGACTTCAGCTATTTCAAGGAATGGAAACAAATACTCAATGCCAGTATAGATTACAGGGTGCTTGTAGGTGGCTAGGTCCAAATTCTTTCATCATCACCATGGAAGCCTGATGCAGACTTTATTTTTCATTTTAGAAGTTGGGTTTAATGTCATTCAGTCTGCAGAGTATAACTGTTATGAGTTATTTAAAGTAACTTTTAAGTAAGAGCTTATCACTCTGGGAAATAAAGGATTTTTCTCCAAATATAAAGCATTGCTGAAATAATGACCCAGATGGGGCAGTGTAGGAATCTGGATTTTGCTTGCCTCTTACTTCTCATAGGATGCATGTATGCTATGGGGAGGGGACAGTGTGATAGAAGAGAAAAGTGAAAGAAATTAACTGAAAAAGAGAAAGGTTCGATCTAGAGAAAGAAAGGAGTGTCTGTAAAGACCTTCTGGATTAGTGCTGTCTGAAAAGGACTTGGACCTGGAAGAGAAAACACAGTCTCCCATTGATTCTTCATGTAGTCAGAGAAATGGACTCCTGTCTATTTATGAAAAGCTGTAAATATCACACGTACTCTCTACTTATCAGAAAGGCCTGACTGCTTTCTGCTGCTCTTCTGGGTTACCTGGACACAGTCTATTCTGATCTCAAAGCTGAATTGCTGTTGCTATCTTTGCCTACAAGTGACCATACAGCCATAATTTGTGAATTCAATTTAGAGCCCTACAACAATGATAGATGAGAAATGTTGTAGAACTCGGAGATAGAAATATGAATCTCTTATGGCTACTTGTGGATTAAAGCCCCAGTTTAGAACCTTTAGAAAGCTTCCTGTATGAAATTCCTCAGCAAAATTGTGCAGTATTGTTGGCCAAATTGTTCTTTTTCAAAGAAAGAAACTCCTCATATGATTCATATTTTTTGGAAAAAAATAAAGGAAGAGGCAAAACATCAACTATAGCTCTGATTTGTGGTGTTATGATAGTCAGCATGAACTCCTTCCTAAAATGTGCAACCACAATGTCTCAGTTCCATTTCTGTTCATAGCTGGTGCTTTGTTACTGATTTTGCCAGTAAAATAGTTCTTCATTTTCATTTTGTAGCTATCCCTCAAGTCAAATCTCCAGTTGTGTTTTTCTGTTCAATTTCACCAAACAGTATGCATCTAATTGTTTGGGTTTGTTGGGGGATTTTAACTCCTGTTAGTGTTATTTATAGTATCATTTTTTCTGTATAAATATGTTTCTCAAACTTTGACTGTGCTGCACCACATCCAGCTCTGTTATGGTATTGCCATCATCCTGACTTGCAATCTGTTCCATAATGCATCCCAACAGCTACCTGCAGCAGCACAATGAAAGGGATAGCACACCATGCCGTGGGAACAGAAACACCTTGGGAGCAGTAACATATCACAGATATGTTTTCAGTTTAGTTACTGGTATTGAATCTGAATGGAGGATTCGATAAAAATATTACTGTGGATTATCTGATAAAGATGGGAGACTATCTACATATAGATATTAGTAATCCTGCAAGAATTTGTTATATCATTGTTTTTAATCTCTTACATTCAAAGAGTATTTTTTTTTAATTCTTGACTTGATAGTGGAAGGGAAACAATGACATTTTCTAGCTGGAGGAGGACCAAGATTATGGTAAACTCAAAAGAATAAGTCAAACTCTTTCTCAAAGCAATGCAGTTTATTGTCAGTAATTTCTATTTAATTTGTCAAAAGACTGAAAAAAGTACCTAAGAAACTAATGTGCACATTAGTTAGTTTTCTATGATCATTTTTTTTGCCTGGTTTTCTTGGCAGCTTTCATTGTTCAAACAGAAAAATCAGAATAATTTCTCTTAATAGGCTTCAGTTTGTTGAAAATGTTTTCATGTCAAATAGGTGGTGAACCATAGTCCATCTGTGGTGACTCAATTTGCCTTCCTTTACAGTGTAACCTCCATTTGCTTATCTGTTTGTGTAAATTTCATAAAATAGGTGAAAGAATTATTTGATTTTTGTTTCTTTACATCACTGTCCTCAGACCTGTCATCTGCCAACTCTGATATAAATTTTCTTTTTTTTTTTTAAAGCTACGATGTTGACTCAAAAAGTCCTAACTTGTCAAAACACGTAAGTTATTCCTTGCTATTATGCTTCCTTGTGCTGAAATGTTTGCATTTCCTAAATACATTTATTTTCTTTTGCCTGTAAGTAATGTCAGATGCATAAAGGCAAATACAGTGCTTGTGCTGTGGTTATAACACATACAATGCTTGTAAGTATAATTTTAATGGGACATGTCTCCTGTAAAGAGGGTAGTTAAGCACATGTACACCTTTTCAGATATGTGGTATGCTGCTTTTTGTCGGTACTTCTTTGGGTCCTAAAAACTAAAGCATATTTTGATTGTGTCTCCGTTAATAATTGTAGAAACATTTTATGCTCATGCCTTCTTGAAGTAGGAGTGATTAAATAGTAACTGTCAAGTGTAGAGATGTGAGAGTACGATTCTGAGGTTTCTCAGTGAATTTTTTTTTACAAATAAATACGGGAAGGCTTTGGTAAGAGAACCTTTGAGAATCTGGACCAAAGAAATAGAGAATAAGGGAAGGAATGCTATGTCTGTGCACTTCATAGTGAAAAGATAAGGCTTTTAGCCATTGATCTCCAGTTATATCCTCCCTGGAAAGATTTAAAGCCCCTGGCAAACTGTTTTCTGTCTCTGTCATCATGGAAAGGTGATCTTAATAACTGCAGTGCTTGCTAGGAGGATGCAGAAAAGAGAAATCTTCCCAACTGTCTTCAACCAGGATAAAGCCTCGTCCTGGGCTTCTGCCCAAGATTGTTTGCACTTCTGCAGTAACTAGTTTATCTGAATTTTTTTTTTTTTTTGCCTTGAAGCATACTTCTTTGTACAAACCTCTCATGTTTAAGTTAAAAGAAAAAAAAGACACATGTTAGTCACTATGGAAGTGCAAACAAAGGTATATACAAATATACAGATTAGATGTCATTGTTAGGTTGCTGAAACAGGAGTTGAAGGTCTCAATATTGTGGTAGTTTGACCGTGGCTGGATGCCAGGTGTCCACTAAAGTTACTCTATCACTCCCCTCCTCAGCTGGACAGGGAAGAGAAAATGCAACAAAAGGTTAATGAGTTAAGGACCTGGTGTTTTTAAAAACGAACAAGGAGATTAGTATTTTCAGATGAATTTTAGCCATTTTAAATGACTCAGTCTTTATGGAAACACTGATGCAGTACTGGATCAGTTAAAAGGTATAGTTCAAAGATTTTATTTTATTTTGCAGGGTTGTTTTCCTCTTCAATTATGTGGCCTCATAACTAAGAAGTTCAGAGATGGGAATGAGTGGCCTGGGCTGAGGGGAGTCAGAACTACTTATGCAATACACAGTGTCTGTACGCACTATTACAGTGTCTTGCTGCTGTACACAGTATCACAAAGTTACGGATTGCTGTGTAGGAATTAGAGTGTCTTGATTCTAATTCCTGTTTGTGAACAAATCTCACAAGCTACTGCCAGTGACACTGGGAAGAACAGCACTAGCAAGTTTTCTCACTTGCAAAATGAGGAGTTGGACTGCAGCATGAAATTTGTTTCAATATATATACAACAGTTTGAAAAAATCCATTCATTGCTACTTAAGTTACAGGGAGATATGAGAATGAGCTGATTTTTAGTTGTATAGTTAAACTTTTAAAATACGGAAATAAAGTCTGTCATTAAAGAAATGCTTGTGCATAATTGTCTGTCTAGGTTGCCTGTACAGATGCTGCACAGGCTTGAATTTCTGCCAACATAATTCACAGAATCAATGTAGAATCTCTTAATAAAAGAGAAATTTGTTAAAATGCTCCAGTTAAAGAAGGGCTAAAAATAGTCATGTTTCTAATGGTTTTAATTTTGTTTTCCATCTCAGTTTCATTTTTGTTGATCAAAAAGGCAATATAAACAGAGTACGTGAAGTGCATTAGAATTACTTCTGTAAATGTAACCCACTGTTATGTCAAATACATAATAGTGAGTCTCTTTGTGATTCTTTATTGCATAATCATAATTAAGATGTGATGTTCAGCAGAATGTGTTCTACAATAGTGAACAACTGAGGTCAATGGAAACCCAGATTTCTTTCAATGTGAAATATGAATTCTGAGTTTTTATGTTAATGCTTTTCAGGATTTTTTGGGACAAATGTTTTGTACACTGGGAGAAATAGTTGGATCACAGGGGAGCAGACTGGAAAAGTCAATTGTGTAAGTATGTCGTTCTTGAATGTTGGAGGAATACATACTGTTTCATGGGGCGAGAGTTGTGGAGTTTTTGCTGGGAGGTAACTTGATATATGGAATTGACAGACATGGCTTTTAAGAGAATAAATTGTTACATCCAATAGAAGTCTTTCGTTATAGACTATGATAGTTTGTTTCAATTTGGACAATTAGCAAAGGAATTGACTAATCCAAAACTTTTGTCAACATCATTACATCTTGCACTAGAAATAGTTTGAGTATACTAATCTAAAAAATGGTTTTTGGTTTACAGATTAACACATCATGAACCTTTTGTTGTCTTATATTCAAGCATCAAGGAAGAAAACACTCACTGTTTCAAATTCCTTCTTATGTTTCTATTGTTCCAAATAATACAGTTTCCAAACAATGAGGCAATCCAGATTATCAAATGTTTTGCATTTATCCTACTAAATTTATCAAAAGCTTTCTTATGGTCAATGGATTTTTCTCTCACTGAGAGGATTTTTATGTTTGCAAACCATTGTTCAGAGGGGTGTACAGATATTTAAAATATGAGTAATTTGAAAAATCTTCATTTTCTATTCATATATAATGTTTGAATAATTGGAAATATTTTACAGCTTTTATCTAACGGTATGCTATAAATTCACATATGACATAAAAAGCAAACATTTAAAGGCACAGCTGGACATTTCATGTGACAGTAGTATTTTTTTTGGGTTTGCATGGGGGAGAAAAAATATAATGAAAGCTTATGGGTCAAGATAAGGACAGGGAGAGATCACTCACTGATTACCATCCTGGGAAAAACAGACTCAACTTGGGGAAAAATTAGTTTTATTTGTTACCAATCAGATCAGAGCAGGATAATGAGAAATAAGCCCAAATTTTAAAACATCTTCCTCTCACCTCCACCTTCTTCCTGTGTTTAACTTTACTCCTCATTTTCTTTACCTCGTCCCCCTGAGCAATGCAATGGGACAGGGAACAGAGGTTGCAGTCAGTTCATCTCACACCATCTCTGCCACTCTTCCCTCCTCATGGGGAGGACTCCTCACACTCTTATCCCGCTCCAGTGTGGGGTCCCTCCCACAAACCTTCACAAACCTCTTCAAAGTGAGTCTTTCCCATGGACTGCAGTTCTTCAGCAGCAGCTCTGGCTTCAGTTCCTTTCTATAGTACTTCGGGAACAGGCTGCTCCAGTGTGAGTCTCTCAAGAGGTCACAGTTCCTGCCAGCAAACCTGCTCCAGCATGGTCTCCTCTCTCCGCTGGTCCACAGGTCCTGCCAGGACCTTGATCAAGTGTGGGCTTCCCACGGGGTCACAGCAGTCTGTCTCAGAAGACTCTTGCTCCCAGTATTTTAGTGTGCTAGCCTGTAACTATGAGAATTTTGTTCAAGAATGTACTTTAGTGTTGCACTTTGTTTTACAGCCTGGCCAGGTACAGAGGTGAACATGTGCTTTGGATAAATTCTCTTGGAAAATAAGTCTAAGTGAAAGGAGAAACTGTCATTTTAACAGTAACGTTTGCTCTCTTTACCTGTTGCGTTAGTAGATTCATTAAATGCCTTCTCAAGACAAGCTCCACATGTAAGATTTAATCTGACTGGCCTTGCATGCTCCAGTTGTATTAGCATGAAAGGATAATACCTCCAGAAATGACACAGCTTCGTTTTTCTCTCAAGAGAGTGTCACCTTCTCAGACATTATTCAGAATTAGATATTTGCATGTTCTCTCTTCCTTGAGAGAAGATGCTAGCCACATTTATAACTCTAAGCAATGTTTTTTTCAGGATCTACTAAGTGCCTTCCTGTAGGGATTCCCTTTAATGAGGAGGCAGAGCCATTGCAAAGCTTAATGAGTGTTCAATGCTAGTTATTCACATCTGAGTGCCATTGCCTGCTAATGAGGCTGTACTGGAGCCAGCTGGCCTATTTTGGGAAGTTTTCTCCTGTCATCTTGCTGTGAACATAATTGGTAGAAAAACATTTGAACCCTGGAATTTGGGCTTCCTATATATTTGTCCTATCCTGTTATCTGTGGGTGTGACTGCCAGAGGGCTCTGTTCTGTAAAATCAGGGATAAGACTGTTAATTTTTGAATGATCTGAAAAATGTTCCATCCTCTGTCTCCCTGCAATTTCAGCTTGCAAAACTGGAGGTTCTTTCTATCATCTAAGGTTTGAATTCTCACATAAATAGTAGTCTTTCTCCAACTGTTTCACCAACTCAGTAAAGGTCCTCCTTTCAGTCCTTGTGGATCAAGTAGACTTCAGTGTGTCCTTTGAAACTTCTTCAGGTGCTGCAGATGTAGTGTCTCAGTCGTGGAATCATTTGTTCTAAGGAGACAACAATTACTCCTTGAGCCTGTGTCTTGTCTAGAGACAAGCAGGTATTGTTGAGGACCTTTCATTTGATAATAGTTGTTCCGTTGCACTAGCAGTCAAAGTATCTGCTCCTCAAATACTTTCCAAAAACAGGTGATCACTGGAGAGAACCTACAGGTTCTGGACTCTCAAACCAGTAAGGCCCACTGAAATGTAGATCTTCTTCACATTTTACCTTCATTTATTTAGTCTGTACCCTCTTCACACTTAGACTGGCACATTTTCTACACCTGATATAGCACCGCCTATATTAGCACTGTCTTGAAGCTGACAGTGGTTATGCAGTACAGATTACCTCACTACCCCACAAATCCTGATCTGTAATGCTTTCCAGAAGAGAAGCTTACCCTGAGAAAGTGGTTGCCCAAACATAAATTTTCTATTGGCACTTCAGTGCTCTAGAAGCAATTCCAGGGCAGCTCAATACCAACTATCTTTTAGAGCTAAAGAAGATGGGCAATGGCACTGTTTCTAGATTTAAAAGGTGAAACTCTCATATTCTTGTCTTCAAGGTAATATTGGTCAGTATTCCCATGGCAATTGGGGGGACTGGTCTGTAATGTGGAATCTCCCAGTGTTTTTTTTCATACAGTGAAAACAACCAGCTTGAAATTATTTTGTTAGTAAGGAAGCTAATAGAGTAAGAATAACAGTAAATGTTTACATGAATGTTTCCTCCTAACAGAAGCACAGGAGTGCCCTCTAGTTCTCTTAGAAAACCTAAAATACGTGATAAGCTTAAAAATATTTTTACCTTAATGCGATCTTGGTAGGTGATTTGTTTTCAAGAATTGTTCTCAAGAAAGGCGCAAAGAAATAAGGAACTAGAATAAAATAAGCATAAGAAATAGCATCAGTTTTGAAAAAAAATCTGGGAGTAGCTGCCAAAGTATTTGCTAATGGACACACCAGTACGCACTAGGATATTTTAGAACTTCTCATTTATAGTACAGCATCAGGCAAAAAATTGCATCTCAGTATTTGTACTGCCCTCCACCATACATGCTGAGTGTGTCCCCCTCCAAAAGGCACTGAATACTATCAGATTATGTGTGACTTTTCTGTTCCTCTCTTCTTTATGCTGAGGAACTCTTTTGTGCTTTCTGGTGTTGCAGCTGTGTGTTTTTAATTGCTGTCTGGGTGAACTAGAATTTAGTTTGCAACTCCTGTATCTGATATGATGGTGAGATTATTATGTGTCTTCATACACATTTCAGAATAAATATTGTAAAATAAGGTTGGAGTATAGTTTTAGATGTATTCTAGGTATTTTATTATAGGGAAAATTTACAAAAGGATGTTTTTCACAAATCAGTTGCAGAGTCATCTCTAAATGAAACAGCAATGGGAGGGTGGACAGTATAATTCTGGCATTGTGATTTCATCCCATTTAAACTTTTTATGCTATTTCGTTCAAAGGTTAAACTGATTTGTTTCTTGCTAGTTAGAATAAATATGCTACTTATTTACCAGTTCGCTTACGATAAACCAACATTTTTACACGGGACAAGTGGCAGAAAAGGGAAACTATTGCCTGCTGTCAGCTTTGTGACTTGGGAACTTGCCTTGTGGTACCTGTGTCAGTTGTAACTTTCATACATGATATTAAGGAATTGAGATGCTGTAGTTGTATTTTCTTGCAGAGGAATTCCTGGGAAGAAATGTGGAACAGTCATAGTAACAGCAGAGGAACTAGGCTGTTGCCGAGTAAGTGTGCTCATTGCTTTTTCAGCAAAGAAATGAAAATTATGCTGTGATTTATACTGCACTGGATTGTCAGTGTATAAGTTTGCATTTTGTGATTTATGTAAGAAGTTAGGATACTTCTTTCCTATAAAAGGTTCTTAATTTTAGATTGAAGAAGGAGAAAGTAGCAGAAGACGATGCTCAATCTCTCTTTTTTGCATTCTCTGTCATGCTCCTTCATGTGCTCACTCCGTCTCTTGCACTGTCTCGCCAGCTGTCACATACTTTCTCTGTGATATTTTCCTACCTGAGTTTATTTGGTATTTGGATTATTTCATATCTGATCTTCGGGGTTCTTATACTTTAGCCAAACTTTTAACAGTTCATAGACAGAGTGGCAAAGAGCTTTGAAATCACTGAATTGCTGAGGTTGGAAAAGACCTTGGGAGATCATCTAGTCCAACCCTCCTGCTCTTCTCAGAGCAGGTTACTCAGGGCTGATACGCTCATTTATTTTGTTCTGTATTTGCATGGTTTAGTCAATGGGGGGCTTTTTAGTATAGTAAACTGCATGCTATATGTAATTTTTCTGTATTACCCATTTCAGGATTCTGTTTTAATGCAATTCTGTGCAAACAAACTAGACAAGAAGGACTTCTTTGGGAAATCAGATCCTTTCCTTGTATTTCATCGAAGCAATGAAGATGGCAGGTAAATGCTTGCTAAGTATTTTTGCTCCTAATCACTAGGCATCATTATTTACAGATGGTAATCATAGTTTTGGGCTTTTTTTACATTTATCACATTAAGCTATGTTTCTTTTACGATCTTTGGTGGATTTCAGTATATTATGCAGTATTGGAATAAAACTTGCAACAAATAGATCAAATATTGCAACTCAATTTTAAGAGCTAAATGTATCATAAATACAGAGCACTATGAGAATTAATTGTCATAAAAATAGCTAAATAATGTTACTTTTGCTAAGATATAGTATGCCTTTAAATAGAATTCTCAAAGAAGGCTTAGCTGCAGGTAATGCTTGGAAATTGTGATAGATAAAAACATTTTATACAGTAAATTTGGAATTATCTTTTTTTGACAAGAGTTCTAGGAAAGAGAATTCAAAAATACCTTAGACTAGAACTTTTATTTTTCACGAATGACTGTTTTCTACATTCATGTGTTAATTTGGTAAAGTACACTAATGTCTTCTGTTTTGCTGCTAAGACTTGACATGCTAATTTCTTGTCAACACTCTGGGCTCTACTGGCAGGTTAAGTTTTCTTGGAAATTGAAAGTCCTTACATCTGACATCATATCAAACCATGTATGATATTACTTGTTTCAGTAGCTAAACTGGAACAATTCTTAATGTAAACCTATGTGTAGGAATATGTGTGTCTGTTCCCTGCTCTTTTCCTCTTGGAGGCACATTATAGGAGTAGTTTCCTGAATAAACAATGAATATCTTAAATTGCAAGCCTAGAGAGCTTATGGCTCATTTGTGAGTGGCATTAAGGTCATTGATGGAATTTCTCTGGGTGTTACTGGGAGTGCTGGTATATGTAGTTTCTCTTGGCCTTGAGTGCCTTGCTTCTCCACTTCCTTCCAAGAGATGAGTGTTGAGCCACTGGTGTTTTATTGGTCTCCTGAATCCAACAGGAGGTTGGGACAGTGCTTCTGCACTTGTGGTGGAAGGATGCTTCCTTTTCTGTTTCTTGGCTTCAAGCATGTCTTCTGAGTCATGGCCAGGATAGAAACATAGGCCTCCGCAGCATAAGGAGGATATTCCCTCAAAGGACAACTTTAGTTATAACTGTATGAGGAATTTCAGTAGTGATTTCCTCAGTGGCTTTGCCTCTTATTTTCTTTTGAACAATTCAGTTCCCAAAATCAGGGTTCAGAAGGAGTATTTGAATTTTACATCAGTTAGAGAAAGCAGAATGCATTAAAACAATTCATTGTATTTCACCTGAGAGAAGGTGATCACAGGATCTCACAAAGGCTTTTATGTTTTACCTGAGACAGCCCTGGTTAAAAAATCATCGACATAAAATGGGGAATAAGAATCCGAAAGCCGTAAGAATCCGAAAGCCGTAAGAGCCCCAAAGCCATTAGTCCTTGGGCTCAGTTTCTTAATGGCTAAGCAAGAGTCAAAGCCTTACAAAACTGATTGCTTTCTGGATCTGTAACTGATTCCTGCCCACACCAAAATCTCTTTAAACAAGTGGAATGGAGACTGTGCATGCTTGAAACAACTCACTGAATGTTTGTAATTCTTGTTGAAATTTTGGGTAAAACCATTTTAGCTTTAGAGTTGTTTAGCACTATAGTCTGGAATCTCTCTCAAATGGGTCTGTCTTCAGTCTGCTCTTCTATCTGATTTCACTGTGTTTCTTATTTTCATATCTTAAGTTTTATATGGACAATGTATGAGTGAATACAGATCACAGCTCTTTTGTTTTCATGTTTGATGACAAAAAAAAAGTAAATAAATACAAAGTCATGTTTTCTTAATTACAGTTTTACAATCTGCCACAAAACAGAAGTCGTAAAAAACACCTTGAATCCAGTGTGGCAAGCGTTCAAGATTTCTGTCAGAGCACTGTGTAACGGAGACTATGACCGGTAAGGTATAGGTTAATCTTTCTTAAAATATATGATTTTTAAGCCCCTAGTTCATGTATTCATTTATATGTAAGTTTTTCTATGTAGTCCAGTTACTGGTGTTATGTAATCAATATTTTGAAAGGATAATAGGTGTTCAAAACTGTTCATCACATGGAAGAATTTGGAAAAGTAAAGAGAATATGCTAAATCTGTAGGAAATGCTAGTGGTGATTTCTGTAAAAAAATCTTTGCTTCCTATGGTATGAAGTAGAAACAGAAAGAAAATACTAATTTAAAGAATAGCTACTGTGACTGGTGTGTACAAGTACTTTTTAATAATGTTTCAGTGAAAAACAATGATGTTCTCTCTCCCTTGTGTGACATTGTAATGTCAGAGGATGTTGATCAATGAAAGCCTTTAAAATATGTAGGTCAGTAGATGAGAATCGCAGAAGGTTATGATCTTTAGACAAAGTTTTCAGTGATCCCATGCAAAAGGATCCAAATTTGGATGATAATAATACCTGGTTTTTAATCAGTATTTTACCGAAAAACAATGATGTTCTCTCTCCCTTGTGTGACATTGTAATGTCAGAGGATGTTGATCAATGAAAGCCTTTAAAATATGTAGGTCAGTAGATGAGAATCGCAGAAGGTTATGATCTTTAGACAAAGTTTTCAGTGATCCCATGCAAAAGGATCCAAATTTGGATGATAATAATACCTGGTTTTTAATCAGTATTTTACCAAAAATAACAAGCAAATTGAATCATGATGGATATTTTTAGACTCCTTAAAAAATGGCCACATTGTTTACTATTTCACTTAGATGCAGTAAAAATGCAGCAATTTCATAATAAGTACTTTCTAATCAAATAGAATTTTTAACTTGTATATGGGTTCATGTGCATAATGCATGAGCAAAAATAATGCCCCTGAAGCAAATCTCTGGACACTGCACTATTTATCATATTAAAGAGAAACAGTTTTCATAATAATTAAAAATGATATTGTGGTGGAGACACATTGAAATAATTCCAACATTCCGAAAGAGAATTAAAAAGTATAATGGCACCCCTCAATTTATTGTGTATTTACTGCTGTCCCATGTTAATTCTGCTTTGAAAGGTTTCAGCATAATGTGCTCAGTGAATGCCTTATGAATAAAGGCTCCATGAAACTCCATAATCCTGCCTACAACAGTCAGGTTTCAAATCAAGAAATACTCATTAGCTGTCAGATTAATTCAAATTTGTATCTGCTGATAATACAGAAAAAGCATCCAAAGTTTGGGATTTTTTAATTTGAAAACTTTTCTTTCTAGAGGTAAAGATTAGCTTCCTAAGCTCAGTGTAGTAATATGTAAAAGTAGGTTTGGAGCTATTCTTGACCTCATTCCATAAAACAACTATCACTTTAATCAGTTTTCATTCTAAGGTAACTTAAACCCAAACGAAGCAGTATAAAATGTAACAGATATTCTGGTCAGAGCCTTTGGAGCTGAAAAGAGAAACATACAGACAAAGCAACTGCTTCTTTACCTCTTTTGGAATATCATAATATTCCAATATTATGTATTTAATATCAGCTGTTATCCCCAAGTAGTCCCTTCCTAGTAAAGAAAATATTTCAACATGTATTTGGCTGTATGTCATTAGGAGAGTGGGGAGCAGCTTCTATGGAAGCAAATTATAAAGTAATCATGTGGATTCCTGTCCCCTCTATTAATACCACAGACCTGATGACTTCTTTTCATGTGAAACTGTTCTGAAGAATAAAACTAAGTAAGTTGCTTAAAATACAGGAGGTCTGGAGGTGTTATATTTCTATCCCATGTGCTGTTCATTTTAGACCAGATAGGATTCACCATTTCTGATTGTTGCATTTACTCCTCTATATATGTACACTTTCCATAGTAAAAGCAGATAAATAAAGCTATATACTATTTCCATACTCATGTATGTTTTGTGTCTCATGAGTGATGTTGATGATAACATACTCTATAGTATTTGCATTTTAAGAAATCCACTCTTCAAGTAAGTATGTAAAATAAGATTGATCCTTTACATGGGACAATTTTGGTTTCTACAATTTGTTTCCCAGTCATCCCTGAAGCAAGAACAGTTAGAGCTGTCATCAGAGCTTCACCTTACTCATAAGGAAACAGATAAATGTGTTCTTAAAAACTTTGATAACACTGTAAGGTTTAAAGAATCATTTATTTTTAAAAAAAAACACAGTAAAAGAAGAGCATCAGCAAGTAAAAATATATTGGTTAAACTTCCAGTGTGTTTAATTGTTCCCTTAGTTTCTACTGTATTTTACCCTTTATTTATGGAGCTGTGAGTGAGTGGCTATTTGCTGCCCCATGGCTGAAAGATTCTGCTTTCTAGATTTGGAACAATTGAGAGACTCATATGCTATTAAATTAAAGGCAATCTAGGTACATCTTAATGTATGTTTTAATAAGGTTGTGTTCTTTTGGTTTTTATTTCAGGACAATTAAAGTAGAAGTGTATGACTGGGATAGAGATGGAAGGTAAGACATTACTTCTGTTGTTAAACTCTAGGCTTATTCATTCATATTTATACACATTTAAAAATGTAGGAATATGTAGTGTCCAGATCAGGCCTAGAGAACATGGTTTATCAATATTTAGAGGTACAGGTACTGGAAAAGAGTTTTGCCCCAATGCAGTTCTGGTTTGTATTGCAGTAGTGGTAAGTGCTGATGCATTAGCCTGTTTCAAACATGCAGTGCATACATTCATACCCGGAACAAGCAAGATGGGATGCTTTATGGTCTGTAAAATCAGTTTTGTGAATCTCATTATGTTATCAGTTAATATACATGTACAAACAGAGGCATAATCCATTTTATAATCTACTTCCTATTGCTTAAAACTCTGCTTTGTAAAACATTGCTTTTCAGGCACGACAAAATGCATGTGCCTGCAATTGCTGCTTCGTGGCTGCATAGAGATTGCAATGCAGAAACCACCTATCAATTGTCTTAGTTTCAGACTGGGTTTGAATGTTCGTTTCCATGCCTGTCTTCATAAAAATCTTGGAAGACCTGAGTTTTATATAACTACCTTGCTAGGAAGAGGATGGCAGAATCTAAGTGGAATTTCTGTTGCTAAATTCAGGAGGGATATCTGTTATTTTATTATATTATGTTTGCTGTCCATAGTGCTGTACCTTTTTTCTGAAGAAATTAGCCTTTCAAACTGCTTTTATTGTGACAAACATGGTAGAATTGTTTTTTAATACACTGGACTGATACCTCCTGTTTTTTTAAAAAATGTGTGAGCTCATATCTTAATACTTTGGTTAGAAACTGTATGCAGAAATCATGGTATTAGAACTGAGATGTAATGCAATAATATGTTGATTTCCCTTACCTTTAAGATGCTCTGTCCGAATTATTTCCTGTTAATCTTAATTTGTACTTTAAAATATATGGACATGCACATGCATTTTGATTTTTGAAAGCATTTTATTTATTTTACAGTGATGCCTTTAATACTGCCAGTGCAATTTGCTTCTAGTACTATAGATATTGATATTGTGCTTCTGTGGCAACAGATCTTGTAACCATAATAGGCACATTTGTCCTGTGCTGCAATTCATTTCCTTGCTGACAAGATCTGAAACCATACTCAGCTTTCTCAGGTTATAATTTTGTCTCTTTGGTTCCATCATGAAGCCTGGTAGTTTATAAGCATTCTCATCACATATTTACCCTCTATAAATACCTGCTAGAGCAAATTCATCCTTCTTGATCAGTTAGTCCCTGGAGAGACAAAATAGCATATTATAGCAATTAAAATAAAGGGATTTAAATTAACCAATCCGTACTAGCAAAAAATCACTGCATCCCTGTTATGAATTCCTATTAACATCTTTTCCTTACTTAGATTTGCCAAATCCTTAAAACTTTGACATATTTGCAATTTTTGTGTATAAACTACGATAATTTTTTGGAAATAAGCTAACAACAAAAGTTAAATTATATTGCCAAGTTAATTAAATCTCAAGGTATCAAACCTCATGTGCAGTCCCATTTTGTCCAAAATCAGTAAGATTAGACAGAAGAGGAAGAAATCTGACAAACACTACTACGTAACTTCAATCCTGAGTGCAATCTGCGACATACTGTGGATTTCAGGCAATCATTAGCTTCTCCACTCTCCCAAACACTTCGAAAGATTATCTGTTTTTGCTCACATCACAATCTGAATACCTGTAAATTTAATATCCAAAAGACAAGAAGGATACTATGTACACGTATTCCTTTTTATTCTAATTGTATGAAGGTTTTTTGCTTTCTATCTTTCTTCAATTTCAAAGCAGGCAGAGCACTGACATCTTACATGTGAAGTTCCTTGGAAAGATGAGACAGTACTCATCTCATGTAACTTCAGACAATGTGAAAATCAGACAAGTAGATTGAACTAATCATTTAAGTCACTTCAGTAGTTTACAGGGGAAAATGATCTGATTGAATCCATCCTAGCTGGAATAAATTGCCAGTTGGTGCTGCCTAAGACTTGCTAGTGATTGTAACAAGGACCTAAGTGCCTAATTTAACTTTGACATTGCCAAGTGTATCTGAAATTAATCCCATTCAAGAGTTCCTCTATCAAATTTTTTGCACAGTGCTGTTACTCAGTTTATATTAATTTCCATTTTTGATGGACCCTGTTTATAAGCAGTTGTTGCACTAGCTGATCACCTCACCATGCTGAACCTGTTTGCTCCAGAGATGTGCAGACTGGGCAGGAACAATCTCTGAAAGATTGTCTGCTCTGCAGAGAGCAAAGCAAGTTATATTGAACATTGCAGTCTGTTCTGCAATCAGGAAGGCAATGTTACTGTGCATGTACTTGATTTCTGAATCTTGGCTTGACTGCTTTCCTGAGTCTTGACTTAGAAGGTTTTTTCCCTTTTCCTCATTCTGTATTATCTGTGCTTTGAAAAACACAGCACCACAGAGCTTTGGGATGAGCTTCTTCACTGCCATGTTCATGAACTACGTTGTGAAGAGTAATTGTCATAATGTAACATTTTGATCATTTCACCACCAAATAGCTCTCATTTGTTTTCGTATATCACTTAAAATTTCTTGACTGAAAGTAATACATTGCATTTGTAACATTAACACTATTAATTATTAAGCATTTCTTTGTCTCAAACCAGGTTTTGCACAAAAATTGTCAAAACGTGAACTGCTTGTTCTAACTCATGCCTTTTATTGCTTCTGAGAGCTGTGACAAGCCTCAAAATATTTGATGCTACAAGAAGTCACAAAAGTTGGTTTTATTACTTTGGACAATCCACTTGTGTGAAGTAGAGCCACATTTGGGTTTTTTTTTTAAAATTGAGTGGCCTTAGCAATGAAGCATTTGCAGAAAAAAATAAGATAATGTGCAACTTCAATACATCAGCAACACTCTGATGTTTTTATTTATTTCTGAAAGCTCTTTCACTTAATTTGAGAAAAAAATGCTACTTAGCACACATGGAACAAAAGCCATTTCATAGTCTTAATGCTTATGATCTGTCACACAGAAGTGGTGGGTGTTTCTTGAGTTTTAAAGCTGTAAATACTACAATGCTAACCTGGGGTCACTAACTGAGAGTCTCAACACTGCAGGAGAGATTGTAATCCAGACTCCAGGCTCTTTCACCTTATTTAATGTCCTTCGTCTTCCTTTTCCAGCTCGTTATTTTTAAATTTTTTCACTTTTCCCCTTACTCATTGACATATTTCTGATTATGCTTGTGCTTTCCTCTGTTGTTTCTTTCCTTTAGATAACTGAAAAATTAAAGTGAATATAATTTTGAAAGTAATTTCCAGCACTTCAAAACACAGTGCTAAAAATGGGAGATGTAGGGAGATGGGGTTCAAGTGAAAATTTTATGTGCTAAGAGTCTCTGGTTCAGTGTTCTCATATGCCACTCATGGACAAAAGGCTGTGGACTAGGAATATTTGGTGTTAGGAACGTAAAGAGAATAACTACTTTGGATTTTCAATCCAGAGACTAGTAAGGACATCCATTTGGTGATATTGTGAGGGATCTGTGCTTTGTTTTTCTTAATGCTTTATACTTCTGGCAAAGGCAAATTTTGTCCAACAGGTCCTCATCTGTCAGAGCCAGCCTAGAGGTAGGGTGTTCATCCACCTGAGTACTGGGTGTTAAGATCCAAGCTGATGACCTTTTAAGCACAGTGGACTCTGAGACTGGTTGTATATGCTCATACCTTTTTAACATGATTAATCAGAGGAATTATATCTTTCTAGCTCAGGTCTTGTCAGTGTCTGTGTATAGCCACAAGGAAAGAGGCTTTCCAGTGTCTCCTAGAATTAAAGAAGCAGTTACTTTTAAGCAGTGCAGTTTTTTTTGTTCCTCAGAGACAATCCTGTCTGGAATGACTTCTATTTCCTCTGTTTGCTGCAGCATGTTTGCAGGTAGTCATTGAGCTATTTGTGTTTCTGCCTTCGAAACATACAAGCTGACTTGAAAATATGAGGTTAGAACTGTTATGAAAGCGAAAGGTTCCAGTTTTACCAATATGCATTTTTCTCCATGGTTACCCAAGGTTAAATACACCTTATGTGCTACAGCCCACACTGAACTCCAGTTCCATAGTCTGAATGGAAAGCTTGCTCTGTTCCCTGGTTAAACAGTCATTGCAGTCTGGAGAGCATTTCATCAAAGGAGATGATACTCCAAAATATGTTTCTTAAGAAAAGTGTTTGTCTGTCTCAGAAGAAATTTCCCAATCTCCAAACTGGAAGGGGAGTGTTACATGGGAGGTGGTTCCTTCTGAATCTGAGCAATCTGTACTTCTCAAGCTTTCTTACAGGATGCTTTGCTCATTCCATGTGCATTAGCATGATGACTGGACCTTTCGGTTGTTGGTTTTACACAGTTTGTGAATTCATTCTGATATCAGAAAACGAGATTTATATTTGAGGTGTGGGGTTTTTTCATTTAATTTCATTTCATTATGAGTAAAGCAAGAAAGAAATTTCATGTTGCTATGGATTGTTTCCATTTTTCCTCTTGCAGCAGTCGGATTTATTTAAATTTGCTTCAAATATTTATAGCTTAATGACAGGTGTGAAAGATTTCTTCAAAACAAGTTTTACAAGTCACAAAGTAATAAAACTTGGACTTTCTGTTCTAGTTTACCATTGGAGGGAAGGTAAAAAAATTAGTTTCATACCTCACCAGATGTGGAGGCTGAATATGGAGGAAATACAATGCCCTGTTATGGCACAGCTGGGAAAATTGAGGGAGATGGCACAGGGGGAAACGAGAGTTGGAACAGCAGTGGGCAAAGTTCAGTTGGGCAGACTGGGAACAGGTCATGGGACTGCTGGGAGTTGTGTGGCCAAATGTTAGGCACTCACCCCTGCAGTCCCTTCCATTCCAGGTGCTTGTCTGAAATATGAACCTGCAGTTCAGTCACTTCTGGCAGCTCTGTGGCTTCTGTGCCCCAGTTCCCTGGCCCCAGCCACCTTTCTCAGCGATGCTTCATCCACTGCACACCCTCTGGCTACTCTGCTCACTGTGGCTCCTTGACAGTGTGCCAGCCCCTGTTTGAGAGTTGACAAAGCAGTTTGCAAAATGTGGATGACAGCACAGGAGTGCCAAATGTATTCTTGGAGCAGGGGTAGAATTTAAAAAGAGAAGCTTGCTTTACTGTTAGGTTAAGATCTGCTTTCCAGTGGTGTGTAATACCATAAGCTGAGTAGCCTCAGTGGATTGCTTTTCTCTTCCCAGATAGGAACACAAAGCAGCTGAAATAAGCTTTGCATCTTCCCTTTTAAAATACCATTTATGTCACGTTACACAAACTGGTAGGGCTGAGCTTTTCTGCTTTAAGTTACTCCTTTTATGCTCTTAATACCTCCCTTTCTCTCACATAGTCTCACACACAGTTCAGGGTCTGTAGTGCCAGTGGCCATCCAGTGAGGAAATGGTGATAATCTTTGGTAACCCACTCTGGTTTTTCAGATTCTGTAAGATTATATTGGAGTCAATCACTAAGTTATAACCTAGTTGTCATTGTGCAGCAAAGCTAAGCAAAAGCCATCAAAAACATATAATTATATTGGAGTCAATCACTAAGTTATAACCTAGTTGTCATTGTGCAGCAAAGCTAAGCAAAAGCCATCAAAAACATATAAGCTAATACTTTCCATCTCTAAATTTGTATTACTATCAAAGTGAACATACAACAGAGGAAGAAATAAAGATCTTTTAAAGCAAATTATATCTGTTGTCATTGCTCCTTTCTGTGGGTGTCAGTTCGTATTGGCTGTGCTCCTCTTTTTCATGAATAGATAAAATACATGTTTAAATTATCAAATGCTGTGCATTTGGTTTGAAAACCTTTTCTTATATATACAGCCACGATTTCATTGGCGAATTCACAACAAGTTACAGAGAGTTGT